GCTCATGCCTGTAATTCCGGCTACTTGGAAGGCTGAGGCGGAAGGATCGCTGGAGCTCAGCAGGTCGAGGCTGCAGTGGCCGGGAGCGGCCACTGCACTCCAGTCTGGGCGACAGAGTGAGACTCCAACTCAAAAAAAAAGAAAACGCATCTGTGTTGAAAACCCACTCCACCAAAAGAATGGTTAGAACTGAGAAGTTCAGTAAAGGTGCAGGATACAAATCCATCCAAAAATCAGAAGCACCTGTTTACACCAACGATGAACAATCTGAAAAAGAGATCTAGAAAGCAGCCCCATTTACAATAGCTACAAAGAATATAAAATATCTAGGAATCAATTTAACCGAAGAAATGAATGGCCTATACAAGGGAAACAATAAAACACTGATGAAAGCAACTGAAGGGGAACACACACAAAAATGGAAAGATATTTTCACGGATTGCAAGAATTAATATCGTTAAAATAACAATATCACTTAAGGCAATCTATAGATTCAATGCAATCCTTACCAAAATATCAATGACATTCTTCACAGAAATAGAAAAAGAAATCCTAAAATGTATATGGAATCATAAGAGACCCCCCCCCCCCGCAAATCCAGAGCAACCATGAGCAAAAAGAACAAAGCTGGAGGCATCTTACTACCTGACTTCAAAATATATTACAGAGGCATAGAAATCAAATCAGCATGATTCTGGCATAAAAACAGACATACTGACCAATGGAACAGAATAGAGAACCCAGATATAAGTCCATGAATTTGCAGTCAACTCATGTTTGACAAAGATGCCAAGGACATACAATGGGGAGAGTCAGTCTTATCAGTAAATGGGTCTGGAAAAACTAACCATATGCAGAAGAATGAAATTAAACCCTATCGCTCACCATATACAAAAATCAAATACAAATGGATTACACATTTAAATCTAAGACCTGAAACCATGAAACTGCTAGAAGAAAATATTGGGGGAATACTCCAGGGCACTGCTCTAGGAAATGATTGGTGTGTGTAAGACCTCAAAAGCATAGGTAACCAAAGCAAAAATAGACCAATGAGATTACATCAAATGAAAAAGCTGCTGCACTGGAAAAGGAAACAACTAAAAGAACCCACAGAATGGCAGAAAAGTATTTGCAAGCTATTCATCCGACAAGAGAATAATAACCAGAATATATAAGGAGTGCAAACAATAGCAAAAACCCCCAAATAATCCAATTGTTTTTTGTTTTTTTTTTTATTTTATTTTTTAAACATATTTATTATAAAGTTGTGGGGTACAGTTAAGGGTTAGGTATACAAATGTGCATCGTTCAGGCACCCTTGTTAATAAGGGGTATCTCCCCAAATAATCCAGTTTTCAAATGGGCAAAAGCCAGCTGCAGTGGTGCTTGCCTGTAGTCCTAAGGCAGGATTGCTTGAGTCCAGGAGTTTGAGAAGACCCGGTCTCTGAATAATAAAAGTGGGCAAAAAGCCGGGCTCGGTGGCTCTGCCTGTAATCTCGCGCTTTTGGGAGGCTGAGGTGAGTGGATTGCCTGAGCCTGCGGGTTTGAGACCTGCCTGGGCAGCGAGACCTCATCTCTACAATACATAAAAAAAAAAAAAATCAGCCGGGCGTGGTAGCGCATGCCTGTAATTCCGGCTACTCGGAAGGCTGAGGCAGAAGGATCGCCCTGAGCCCAGCAGGTTGAGGCTGCGGTGGCTGGGAGCGGCCACTGCACTCCAGTCAGGGCGACAGAGTGAGACTCTAACTCAAAAAAAAAAAAAAAAAAAAAAAAAGTGGGCAAAAGTTCTGAATAGACATTTCTCAAAGGAAGACATACAAATGGCCAACAGGTATATGAAAAAAATGCTTGACATCCCTAATCACCAGAGAAATGCCAATCAAAACTACAGTGAGGGTGGGCGTAGTGGCTCAAGCCTGTCATCTCAGCACTTTGGGAGGCCCAGGCGAGAGGACTGCCTGAGCTTGCAGGTTCGAGACCAGCCTGGGCAACATGGTGAGATCTCATTTCCACAATAAATAAAAAAATTAGCCATGCATGTTAGCACTCGCCTGTAATTCTGGCTACTTGGAAGGCTAAGGTGGAAGGATTGCCAGGGCCCAGCAGGTCGACGCTGGGGTGGCCGTGAGTGTGCCACTGCATTCCAGCCTGGGTGACGGAGTGAGACTTCAACTAAAAATAAAAACGAAATAAAACTGCAGTGAGATTGCACATTCCAGTCAAAATAGCTTTTATCAAAAAGGCAGGGAATAATAGATGCTGGTGAGGATGTGGAGAAGGGAGAACCATCCTACAGTCAGCAGGAACGTACAGCCATGAAAGAAAACCATATAGTGATTCCTCCAAAACCTAAAAACAGAAACTTTTGTGTGATCTAGCAATTCCACTACTGAGCATAGGTCCAAAAAAGAAAATCAACATAGCAAAGAGATACCTGTACTCCCGTGTTTATTGCAGCACTATTCACAAGAGCCAAAACATGGAATCGTGTCCATCATTGGATGAATGGACAAAGAAAATGTGGTATATATACACAACGGAATATTATTTAGTCACAAAAAAAGAGTGAAATCTGCTGGGCGTGGTGGTTCAAGCCTGTAATCCCAGCACTCTGGGTGGCCGAGGCGGAAGGATTGCCCGAGCTCAGGGGTTCAAGACCTCAGCTCTACAACCAATTTTAAAAAATTAGCCGGGCATGGTGGCATATGCCTGTGGTTCCAGCTTGGAAGGCTGAGGCGGAAGGATCACCTGAGTCCAGCAGGTCAAGGCTGCAGTGGCCGTGAACGTGCCACTGCACTCCAGCCTGGGCAAGAGAATGAGACTCCGACTCAAAAAACCCCAAAAAACAAAATCTTGTCATTTGTAGCAACATGGATGAAACTGGATATCGTTACATCACGTGAACTAAGCCACCACAGAAAGACACATACGGCTTGTTCTCACTCACACATGGGAGCAAAAACGTGAATCTCTTGAAGACAGAGAGTAGATGGGTGGTTACCAGAGGCTGGGAAACATAGCGGGGAGAGGATGAAGAGGCCTCTCAATGGGTACAGATATACCGTCAGATAGTATAAGACCTAGTACGTGATCAGTACGGTGACAACAGGTAGCATGCATCTACTCAATGTTTCAAAAGAGCTAGAAGGGAGTTCAAATGTTCCTAGCATAAAGAAAAGTAGTTAAGATGATGGACATCCCAATGACCCTGATTTGATCTTTATACATCATATAAACACATCCAATTATATATCAATTTTAAAAACTCGCCCATGGAATTCTGTATTCACAAGTTTCTTATAAATCTATTCTAGAGTTTATAAAAACTCATCCATGAGAACTTAAGGTAACTGAAGACAGGTGAACACAGTATTAAGTTTAGGAGAAAGAGGAAATGAAATTAAAAAAAAAATTCTAAGTAGAGGCCTTGCATGCATGCCTAAAAAGTCCAGCTTTTTCAATGTGGCCATGAGAAGTCACTAAAGGATTCTAAGCCGATTTCCATTTAGAAAGACTGCTCAGGTAGCAGTGTGGAGAGTTAAGATAGAGGGACAGTTGAGCAGAGACCACGGCCAGAGTCAGGGGGAGCAGAAGATGAATGAGGTGGTCTGGAACAGAGAGGGTGGGAAAAGGCAGAAACAGCAACAAGCAGCTCTTTTGGAGACCCAACTGGGGGCCCAGGCACCCTACTAGCTGCTAATGCTCTCCTCTGGGTAAGGTCCCCTGTCTTTCAACTTAGACTGGTCAGTCTATTCCACTTGCCGTTGTCTTTGGTGTGCAAGGAGGATGATCAGGTCCCTGGGAAGCACCCGATGCCAGAGACACAGGAGGTGTTCTATAAAATGCTTTATTCCATGAGGCCATCCCCATATCCCCACCCAACATATACACATCTTGTTTCTGTCATCACATTTCCAAAAGGGAGCACATGTCAAGATATCATCTGTCTCCAGACATCGGACTCACACAGAAAAGAGACAGAGGGACTCATCCCAGAGCCCAGTCAGCAAAACCCTCCTTTTACTATTTCTGCTCAGTCTAGAAGACTCAGCCTGGAATTATTTTAAGATTGTGTACTATTTGCAATGTTATAAAAAAGCAAATTACTGCTATTCACAAGGTGATAAGCTGCAAAGTTTGTTTTGTTTTCCTTTTGAAATCGAGAATCTTGTTAACAACATATTAACATCATTAACAGAAGAAAAAAAACACCATTTACACAGTAACTAAAAAACCAGCCACTTAAAGTAATATCGTAACCAACCACTACCATAGAAAACTGGCCCTGTCACTGCATTTTACTGGCAAGTCCCGGGGTTTCCTGAGCCTTGAGAGCCTGTCCTGAAGGGATGCGGAAGCATTCAAGTAAAAGGTAAGGAGCTGAGTGTGTGATTCTGAGGGACGCTGCCTCGAAGGCGGGGCGGGCCAGCCACAGTCCTCCAGCTGACGCCAGCGTTGAGATGCTCCTGGGACGACCAGCCCAGCTGCCTTTCGAGGAGTTTGGACGATCCGTCAGGACTTAGGGCTCATAAAACATTCTTCCACATTAAAAAAGGTTTTGTCCCGCAGAGGTAAGTTTTTCACCGCTTCTCCAGCTTCTTGTACTTGGCTTCTGCGGGGAAGGTGAGAGCAACATCTTTTACAACTGGCTCTTGCAAGACAGCTTTTAGTTAGCCTTTCCAGGCACATTCAGAAACGCCTGTTACACTGTTCGGACTCTGAGCTTCAGTCTCATTATCTGCCCAAACACGCAGATCATTGATTTGCACAGCCTGGAAGACGGAGTCAGACACACCCGGATCTGAGAACCCGATCCAACCCTGTCAACAGCACACGCTTAGCTCCTCCAGGACAAGGCAGAGCCACTGGCACCTGATCTACCAGGAGCCCTACTAAGCACAGGAAGCCGTCTCTCCAGGCTCTGCCTCAGGTGCCTCGGAACCACACCAACACCCTCAGGAAGTACACATGTATGTTTCCTCTTTTACTTTTGTATCCTTACACTTCACTCCAGGAAATCAATTTTGAAAGATATAGAGATTTAAAAGCCATCAAATAAGACTCTGACTGTGACAAGTTCCCTTTTTCTATTAAAACCTAGAAAACACCTGGTACGACGTCTTCTACATGGTAAGGTTCACAGCAACCATTGTAGACAATGATGGCCAGGCCCAGTGGCTCAGCCTGTAATCCTAGTACTTTGGGAGCCCGTGGGTTTGAGACCAGCCCAGGCAACTTGGCGAGACCTTGTCTCTACAATAAATTTAAAAAAAAAAATTATTTGGGCATGGTAGCACGCGCCTGTAGTTCCAGCTACTTGGAAAGCTGAGGCAGAAGGATTGCCTGAGCTCAGCAGATCAATACTGGGGTGTTCGGGAGCATGCGTGCCAGCCTGGGCGACAGAGTGAGACTCCAACTCAAAAAAAGAAAGAAACTGTAGACAGTGAAACGGACTGTTAATCACTGCCTGTGTCAAATTCCAGCCTGCTGCAAACTATTCTCTTGAAGTAGTCAGTACCTGTTAATGATGAAAATAAAATAATCTGTGATCTAAGATAAAAAAAAATTCAGGCCAAGTGTAGCGTCACATATCTGTAATCCCAGTTACTCACAAGGCTGAGGCGGGAGGACTGCCTGAGCCCAGGAGTTTGAGGCTGCAGTGAGCTACAATGGCACCATGGATATGAGAGCCAGAGCCAGTTAGCAAGCCATCGATTGAAAGCCCTACTGACTGTTTCATATTTTAAGACCTACTACATATGTGTGTGACTGCTTCTGCCTGCCAAACCACGATGAAGAGCTGGAGCACTGTCACCAAACACACCTGGCTTGGAATATGGCTCTTCCCTGTACTAGCTTTGGGACTTAACCCCTTAAGCCACAGTTTCCTCCCCTATCGAATGGGGCTAAAATTATGTCCTTCCCTGGACATAGGTTACTGGGAAGATAAGAAACAGCACATTTAAAGCACTAAGAACGGTGCCTGATAGATGAAGGACTCAGGAAATGCTACTTTTAGTATTAGTAAGTCACTCACTAGGTTTTTGTGAAGACTAACAGATTGCAGCAGGCACCCCATAAATGATAACTGTCATGTGAGTTCAGGACATCTAGCAAGAAGCGCTCTTTGGTTCATCAAAGCAGACAGACAAAGGGTTACCCAGTTTTTTTGAATACGCATCCAACTTGTAAGCCGCCTGCTCCAGAGCTGCCACCTGCTCCTCGATGACATTGATCTGGTCCAGGTACGGCTGCAGCCCCGCATCTAAAAACAAGACAACCCGCCACTTACACGCAGTCGACAAGGAGTGCAGGGAAAGTGCAAGTGAGAGTGTGAGCGCCGACCGGGGACAGTGGCTCACGCCTATAATCCCAGCAGTTTGGAAGGCAGAGATGAGAGGACTGCGTGAGCCTAGGAGTCAGGGACCAGCCTGGGCAACTTAGTGAGACCTTGTTACTATAATAAATTTTAAAAAAAATTAGCTACGCGTGGTGGTGCATGCCTGTAGTTCCAGCTACTTGGAAGGCTGAGACGGAAGGATCGCCGGAGCCCAGCAGGTCGAAGCTCCAGCCTGGGAGACAGAGTGAGACTACGACTCAAAAAACAAAAAGTACGAGTGCCTCTCCAGCTGTGCACAGGCGGGTGTGTGTGGGTATGTGTGTGGATGATGGGACCCAGCAGGGCAGATGCTTCCAAAGGCAGCAGTCAGCAAATCAGGCACAGCGAGGCCCAGTCATGGGAAGCCCCTCTCATACACTGACTTGCCCTTCTTTTGAATTTCTTGCGCCTCAAGCCATCTTTCCATGACTGATTCAGTGTCCTGGGTACTCCCATCCCAGGAGACAGTATGCTGGAGACAAGGAACGCAAAGTCAGCCGAAAAACAGACCTGACTACTCTAGGTTAGTGTTTTCCATTACAGATTTCCTGCCTCTCTGCTTAGAGAGCAGTCCTTTATGGATTTCATTGTCAAAGCAATCCCCTCAGCTCTAGCCACCCCTCCTCTGCCCTCTCCCTTTCCAGGAATAAACTGATAAAATCAAGATTTGGAAGCAGAAATAGCCATACCACCAAAGCATGCTAATCCTCAGAGTGAAAGAAATTCACTTAACTTTGCAATTCCTTTTTAGAAAACAAGCTCCCACAAGACAGGGGTACTGTGTTCCCTCTGCTTCTCCATGGCCCCAAGCATACAAGAACATTCAATAAAAACATGATGAGTTATAAAAAAAATTACTTACACTTCTGGTTTAAGTCCTTTAAGTTTCTACTAATGTTTATAGCAATATCTTTCATTTCAAGATACTTCAAGCTGGTTAATTTATTCATATTTTCCAGGAGTTTATAGTCTTCACTGGTGGCTTTAAAAGAAACAGAGATGTGATGCCTTTACAATTTGTCTTAGATCATTGGAATGTGGAATCATGGAGCAAATGGTAGTTCAAGACAGGACCTAGGGAATGTCAAAGAACCGGGCCACTGTTGACCTATGACATTCATACTCAGGTTGTGTATGCCGAACGTCTAAGCAGTACCTTGGCAACAATCGACAAACTACTTAAACCAAGCAAGATCCAGAAGGTTCAAGATCATGATTACAAAGGGAAATGATAAACTCATGTCCAAAAAAAGGGGAGGTGAAACAGTCTTGGTACTGCTACAGCATGAAAACACGTAACTTACATACATATAATACATATACTCTCAGCTGGGAACTCTCCACCCCTTAGTAACTCATTGTAACTGCGTAGGATTCCAGATCGCATTTGATGCAGTGACTTTTCCAAGCCACGTGTGATTCTCACTCTACCCCATCCACAAATGGCCCACAAGCCAAGCCGCCGAGCAGAAGTCACTTCAACCTCACTTCTGCCTTACTCTAACCTTCCCAGTGCCACAGTATCTTCCCAAGGCAGAAGTGTCCCTGTGCTTGCCAGACAAGCCCTCCTCTCTGCTCTTGACCCCAACCCTCTGCCTCTTCAGAGCCTCCCTTCACCCCCTTCCACCTGCATTTCCAAACACCCCCCCAGTCTGGCTCCTCCCTCCCGAACAGCAGGGAGTCCCGGTGTCCTCAGCTCAGAAGCACCCTTGTTCTGCCTCCCCTACATCCCTTGCTCGGAAAGCCAAGGGATTTCATTGCTAAACCATCGGCAACAGCAGCTGACACCGCTTCCTCTTCCTCACCATTCACTCACCTAAACGCATACAGTCCGGTCTCTGCCCCACCCATCAACCAGGGAAATGACATGCTCTGAGGCCAACAGGGCTCCTGCGGCCACCAAGTCCACAGCTTCTGCTCAGTGCTTATCTTCCTCAACCTCTCCTTGGCTGATGCAGCCGATCGCCCTCATTCCCTGAGGCTGCTCCGGCCGCTCTCTAACCCCCAGCGGCTCTTCTCAGGTTGCTACGCCAGATCCTTTCTTACCCAACACCCACAACTATCAGGTCTCAACGCTTTCTCAGCTGTGACACCCAAGTGATGTTTACAAGGACGGTACATCCCCATGGGGATTCCCAGGGTCACGCTGGTGGGCAAAAGACATGAAAAGACACATCTCAAAAGAATATATGAGCAGCCAACAGACACATGAAAAAATGCTCATCCTCACTAATCAGAGAAATGCAAATCAAAACCACATTGAGATACCACCTAACCCCAGTAAGAATGGCCACCATTAATAGAACAAACAGCCAGGCTCGGTGGCTCAGTCTGTAATCCTGCGCCTTTGGGAGGCTGAGGTGAGTGGATTGCCTGAGCCCGTGGTTCAAGACCTGCCTGGGCAGCGAGACCTCATCTCTACAATAAATAAAAAAATCAGCCGGGCGTGGTACTAGGTAGGAAGGCTGAGGCGGAAGGATCGCCGGAGTCCAGCAGGCGAGGCTGTAGTGGCCAGGAGCGGTCATTGCACTCCAGTCTGGGCGACCGAGTGAGACTCCAACTCAAAACAATAAAATAAAATAAAATAAAAAATAGAACAAACAACAGATGCTTCTACACTGTTGATGGAATGTAAACTAGTTCAACCTCTATGTTAAACAGTGTGGCAATTCCTAAAAGAACCAGAAATTGACCTTCCATACGACCCAGTAATCCCTCTTCTGGGAATATACCCAGTGGAACTTAAATTACCCTACAAAAAAAGGTACCTACACATGCATGTTTATTGCAGCACTACTTACAATCGCAAAAATATGGAACCGACTGTGCTGCCCATCGAAACTGGACTGGATTAAAAAAAACATGGTATACATACACGATGGAATATTATACAGCCATAAAGAAGGACAAAGTTATGGATTTCACAGCAACTTGGATGGATTTAGAGTCGATCAAACTCAGTGATCTATCACAGAAACAAAGAACTGAGTACCACATGTTCTCATTCATAAGCAGACTCTGAACATTTACCATTAATATACTCTAAGAAAGGGATTGGTTGCTGGGCTCTTGGCTCAGTCTGTAATTCCGCGCCTTTGGGAGGCTGAGATGAGTGGATTGCCTGAGCCCACGGGTTTGAGACCCGCCTGAGCAGAGAGACCTCATCTCTACAATAAATCAAAAAATCAGCCGGGCGTGGTAGCGCATGCCTCTAATTCCGGCTACTTGGAAGGCTGAGGCAGAAGGATCGCCGGAGCCCAGCAGGTCGAGGCTGCGGTGGCCGGGAGCGGCCCCTGCACTCCAGTCTGGGTGACAGAGTGAGACTCCGACTCAAAAAAAAAAAAAAAGGGATTGGCGGTAAATCACCGGGGGTGGGGGTGGGGGAGGACACATAACATCAATAAGGGTACCTGAACTCAAACCAGGCAAAATGGGGACCAAAGAAAGCCCCAAACTTCACCGTACGATGACCACTTGTGTACCCAATCCTGAATTGTACCCCACACTTTAAAAGTTTTTAAAAAATCCAAAAAGCACTTGTGCAAGTAAGAATAACAATCACAGGGAAACAGCCAACTCCTTAAAATCAATTTTATAATAAGTCAGTCACTGGAAGCCTAGGTATTTTCAGTACTGTGGTTCAAAGCAAAGCAAGTGCACCGTGCAGGCAGGCCGCAAGATTTCGGCACTCTCATCCCCCTCTGAGCTCTTCCTTGGCAAGCTCACGCTGCACAGCCTCCGAGTACGTTACGCAAGGGCCCCCCGGGTCTGTTTCTCTTCGGATCAGTCTCTGAGCTCTGGACTCACATGTGCAAGTCACCCGAGTGTCCCGCTAAAAGCCACCTGAGTGCCCTCGTAATGGCAACAGGCAGCCAACCCGAAACGAAAACAGTTTCATGCTAAACATGGTTCCTCTTTCCAGCGGCCCTGTTTCGGCTGAGGCCCAAAACGTCAGATACGTCTCAGGCGGCTCCCGTTCCTCAACACCCCGACGTCGACCGGTCCTCCCGGGTCCACTTCTGGACGTTCCTGTACCCGCGCTCTCCTCTCCATTCCCTTCGCCGTCCCGCGGGCTCGGGGCTCGGG